CACCACGTACCTATCGAACAGAAGGCAGCCGTGAAGATGTTGAATAGGCGTCCCATCCTGTCGTTTGGACGTCGTGTAGCTTCGTGTGTGGCAGGGCTGACGAGCCCTCAGCAACCGCCCAAGCTCTTATTACCCCCACCCTGCTCGAAATCGGCTAAAGCTCGGAGGGAGCATGTGAATGCTCAAGCTCGTCGTGGCCCATTATAAGGTACAACTGCCTGCTCGAGCACCCCTGGCAAAGTCACGCGCGGACTCGTGACCGCTGTCGACCGCCCTCGAGCACCAATCCGCTGGTGAGCCCCGGCGCCGGGATAGGGCTGCAGCGGTCCGGGCGTAGCCCGCCCATGGAGCATGAGGAGATGCGAGGGTGCGAAGATGGAGAACGAGACGCATTTGGAAGGCGCTGTAGGTCATTCGTGCGAGTACGCGGACGCGATTAGGCGCGCTTCTTAATAGCGTAGAGATGCTCGCTCCAGACTTGCGTTAGTCGAGGGCTGCGGTTGCAATTACGAGATTTGACGGCCAGTTGCAGGGATCAGCGAATATCATGTGCATATTCTGAGCCGGGTCTTACAACAGTCTCTCGAATTCAGAGTTTATGATGAGTAGTACAACAAGCGTCACTGGACCTGCAAGCGTTACGTTATTTATCATGACATTTCATGCCGCGCTCACTCGCTTGGAGCCTTCTCTTCTTTGACCTCTTCCTTGGTTTCTTCCTCGACTTCCTCCTTGACTTCTTCTTTGACTTCTTCTTTGACTCCCTCTTTGACTTCTGCTTTGACGTCTGATTCAGGATCTGCTCCGTCCAGAGGGAAGTACAGCGGAAGGAGATCCCTATACAACCCGCTGAGAGGTGCAATAGGTCTAATTTCAGGAAGAACATACTCGTAGACGCCTTTATCGTGGTCACTCCAGACCACGAAAATGGCTCGGTCGATCTGGTGGAACGTATATGCGTCCAGCATGGGTCACGACCGCGAGCTTAATACATTACCTTGGATCCGGATTCTGAGCTAAGGAACCCTCGGACCTCGTCCAAAGCGATATGGGTCGCATCCTCGACAGGATAGCCATAGATTCCCGTAGAGATGGAAGGGAATGCCTAGAGCGTCGAGTCATTCAGGCCATGCGGATCACATTGTGAAGAAGTCTAACTGACAATGTGTCTTTGAGAGTTCTGGGCGGCTAACTCCATGCTCCTCCGGTAGCAGGATGCGAGAAGTTCGGCACATGTCTGTGTATGATGCGACGAGTATACGGGCCCAACTGCATGTATGACATGCTTGCTACAAGAAAGCTAAGCGTCAAGAGGCGTAGGAAAAGAGCGGCAGGGTAAGCCCTCACGCTGGTAAGTCATAGCCTTTAGTTATCTTTGCATCTCCAGTCTCGCATCCGTGCAGGGTCCGACCTAACAGCCGAATGAGAACAATTAACGAGCTTTGCGGTAGGACGCACATTCTTCGACAAGCTTTCTCCCGGCGGCGGAGTGAATGGCTCCATCCACTACAGGAGAAGTGTCACCAAGACAATAAGGAGTGCCGTGAGGACTGACCAACCTCCACCACCGCCTGCAGGCGTGATGAGATTAGTACGCTTTGGGTAGCTGGGAGAACTGCGTACCCAGCAGAGACTTGTTAGCGGCATTCACGATCGCATCTACTTCTAGCGCGGTTATGGTCCCCTGACTGAGCAAAGTTCTAAAGTTAGGAGCTCCGGTGTCCCTCATGATCCTGACTTTCGCCTGGAGATATACTGACTAGAGCGAGACGCGATCGAGGAGGCTCCCAGAGTGCTTGTATTTCGCGGCAGTGGGCTCCGCTGGGATGAGCCTTGCCAGCTTGTAGAGCTGGCGCAGTGTGGGGATGTCTGCGAGAGCGACGTTCATTGCTGGCGAAGGAGTGCCAAATAACGAACAAAGCGGGAGGGATTGAGGCGTTTGTGGGCGTCTCGGATGTGAGGAGGAATAGATGAAGCAGCGGCGTTTGCCGAGGGGACTGTTTTAGCGTGAAATATGACCTCAGCCCAATATTTGGAAGATGATGACTGCTTTTTGTCCTGAACTACGATGGTATTGTCTCGCAGCCTGAGGGTCAGTACCGGTCAGTGCTGGATCGCCGCCCTCGGGAAGCGTTGCTCGTCCTGGTACATCAACAGCCACGTGGTGGCGACTTTGTATCCGCGGATGGGGCAGACAGACGCCAGACCCCTCTTCACCTTGTCCCCGGCACCAGTTTGGCTCGTCTTGTTCTCGAGAGATATAACCTCCCATCCCTCCCAGCCTGTCCGTTCAACATTAACCGCATGGGTGGGGTTCTCTGCTGCTGTTCAGAGCCAGTCAACTTCGACGGCGAAGTCGATCTCTTCCACTTTGACCTCCATCGAGCCGTTGGCAAGGGCGCTTTCGGCAAGGTGTGTGCTCCCGACGCGTCCATCGCCTCACTTTACGTCTTTTAACATGCGCAATCATAGGTCCGGGTCGTCGAGCACAAGAAGTCAAAACAGCTTTACGCCCTCAAGTACATCGACAAGGCCAAATGCATCAAGCAAAAGGCCGTTGCTAACATCATCCAAGAACGGCGGCTACTCGAAGAGGTGCGATCCGTCCCATCCATACAGGCGTGAAACATTCAGTCTTACACGGGTGCTCTCCTCCAGATTGACCATCCATTCATCGTCAATCTCCGCTACGCCTTTCAGGATGACGAGAACTGCTTCTTTGTCCTCGATCTCATGTTGGGCGGTGACCTACGCTGTGCGTTCGCTACCATCACTCTTTTGACAGCACCTAACATGTTCGGGCGCGTAGTCCATCTCGAGCGCAAAGGCCGCATAAACGAGGCCGTAGTCAAGTTTTGGATCGCCGAACTCGCTGAAGCATTGAACTATCTCCGCAAACAGCGTATCATACACCGCGACCTCAAGCCAGACAACATCTTGCTTGATGCCGCGGGGCATGCGCACATCACCGATTTCAATGTCGCCATCCACTACTCAGAACGTCGCCTACACACCAGCGTGGCAGGAAGCATGGCCTATATGGCCCCAGAGGTCGTCGGACGCAAGGGCTACACTTGGTGTGTTGACTGGTGGAGTTTAGGTGTGGTCATGTGGGAACTGCTCTTCCATCGTCGCCCTTTCGATGGCCGCACCACGGAGAAGATGACGAACGCCATCCTGAAGGACCCGCTCAAGTTTCCGAGCAACGTTGATGAAGTATGCAGCCCGGAGTGCCAAGACTTTGTCAAAGGAGTGCGTATATGCGTCCATACTCCGCTTCTCCTTGCTAACCGCACATTAGCTGCTCGACAGGAACCCTAAGACGAGGCTCGGCTGCCGTTCAAGAGGGCAAGGCATCGACGACGTCCATAGTCATCCGTGGATGGCATCTATTGACTGGGAGAAGGTCCGAAGCAAAGACCTTCAGCCTCCATTTGTTCCCGATGTGAGTTCTTTGGGGCTCTTGCTACGAACATTCTCTCACACCCAACACAGATGAAGAAGGCAAACTTCGACGTGTCACACGAGCTTGACGAATTCATGATGGTCGAGAAGCCGCTCACACACTCCAAACGGAAAGCACACCCCGACCTTGAGAAGATGAAGCCTGAGCTGCGGCAGATGGAAGAGGAGTACGTTAAATGCGCTTCATTTCCGCCTCTTGTTCTGATTTTGGCGCCGCAGGTTCACGATATACGACTTCTCGAAGAACAATCGGCGGTCATACTATCCACACAACCAGCCGGTCGTCACGTCTATTAACAGCGACGATGACGATCCTGTCATCGTCCTCCAGTCTGCGACAAACACCCTTCTGCCGAATACCACTCTTGTCGATCGCACGTCGGCAGGCTCGCCGTCGCCAGATATGGAGCAGAGTGGCGTGCACCCGATGACCCTCCCGCGGACATCAGAGTCTGTCGACCAGCGGCCACGGCCGTCTGAGTCTGTGAGTCGCCGCACCACTGTCAGCCGCCGCTCAGAAGCCGCGGACCACCACTCTCGTCGGCCCACCCCATAGCGCCTCGCCCCAACACTCGCCTCTGTCCTCTTGCTCGTTCCCAGGATCCAGGACATAACCCTACTCTCCTTGCATAGTCTCACCGCCCTGACTGCTGCTGGGCCCGCTCACTCGCACACTCACTGTCCGCTCCATACTTCCTCTCTTTGCTGCATCTTCCTCTCTTTGCTGCATCTTCCC